GTGGTGGTGGTGGTGGTGGTGGTCATCCCCCAATAGGGGCCGCGCTGGACTAAAACGGGGACCTTACTGGGCCACGTAGAGTCCGCACGAGCCCAAACCTACTGTCGTGCATGGGGCGCATGGTGGCCCGCTGGCCCAGCCACTGTGACCAATCCCATCACCGGGTAACTGGCCGACTTGAACAACGGACTGGTGCATGGGAGAGGGAAGAATGAGTGAGGTTGACGCTGGGGAATTCAGCCCTACAACACTTCAGCGCATCCCTCCCTATAACAAATCTGTCCCGCTTGAATTTTTTACGACGGCCTATAAGTTGTGCTTTAGAGGACTGTCAACTGACTGGGTAAATTGGTCTCCTCAGGACGGAGGTTAAGGCTGCAACGTCTTCTCCCTAGTGTTGCCGCTATGGCTTTTCCATTCAGATGGGATCGGAGACGTCCCTGCCTTTCGTGAAAATTTAGCCCATTGTACAGGGGCCGTGCCGTGCGTGGCCCGCGTAGAGGGACCGTCTAACTTCCGGTCGTCCTGACACTGTCTTTCCAATGGGCGTAGGCGGGCGAGGAAGGAGAAAGTGCGGCAGATGTTGCGCAAGTCTGCTATCATCGGCATAAACTGATTCAGGCGCAAATTGCCCCCCCCGCACCAACCCACGCGGGGGGAGGGCACACGATGGACGTCGTTGAATGCTACTGTCTGACTGACATATGCGTGCACATAGCGCATACAGTTGGCAGTTGGCTTCGAAGGTCCACTAATTTGACTCCGATCGCCATAAATGCAGAATTCAATGCATTGGAGCCTGGTTTTACTCTTGCTCTTTACTTTCTGCTACTTTCCCAGATCTCAGGATATTCTCTGCAATTCTCCTGCCAGCTTAACGACTTATTGATAACATTTTTCTTTCGCCCCCAGCACTCAGGGTGGATATTATCTTCTGGCCCAGGGGAGGTGAACGCCCTAGTGCAGGTTTCTCCCATTCATTATTTACGGCCTCTGCTCCATTGTAATACACTCCAGTGTCTCGGATGCTATGTAAGGCAGTAAAAGAGAGAAGCGCTGTCCTACGCCGCCGGTCCAAACGCAATCAGCGGGTCTTAACCGGGAAATCAAACACGTCCGCATCCCACAACAGCGACCAGGCAGTAATTTCCTTGCCGCCTGCGTTAAAGTAGCAGGATTCAATGCGAATTTATTCCAGGCCGACTCGTCTTGATTTGCAGGCTGAAAAGCATATATTTCAATATGTTGCATAAGTGGGGACGTGTGCATGCTGATATGATGTAATGAAAAAGAAGATGCTCTTCGGAAAAGCCCAGGTGTTCTCGTAAATACACAAGCTGGTTTCATAAACCCATCATAGGATGAAATGAATAGGGATAAGTGGAATTATCACAGTAGAGCGTTTTGCGGCCCAGGGGTTACATTAACAGGCAGACGTCCATGGGAGGGCGCGGGAATAACTTTGTGATGGGTGCCGGAAGGGGGTTTCAGTTATGGATTGCCGTGTAGGAAATGAAAAACCGATGAGATTCTCCGTGACTGGACATGAATTGGCAACTGTTATTTTGGGGTGAGCACAGAGGATCAATGAACCCTGCACGACAGACCTTTGTATTGAGCGTCCAGGTTGGCATGGCGGTTAATACCGCTCCGGCTAAACTACCAAGATTTGAGAAGTTCTTGTGCCAATTTTGTACTGACCATGATGGCCACTTCTGCACAGCACCAAATGAAGAGGTGGTCACACGCAAGGGCTTGCGCAAGCACAAGAAACAAGCGGTCATTCTGGCGGACGGTTAGCTTGCTTTCGTAATGCGCGCCCGAAGACTTCGAGTCGTATTTCCAATGCAAACGAAATATCAGTTGGCACACTGGACGCGGTGAAGAGCATTAGTTTTTTGCATTTTGGGTACAGAATTTCCACCCGAGGTAGGGTTACGCGCAGGAGGACGCCGTTTTGTGAGGGGTGTATATACTTAACCGATTTTAATTGCCAGATGGGCGCTTCACAAGTCCCATGCGTATGAGACAGTAGAGAAAGTTTCGGTGGAGATAGTTTGGACGCAGCTTTTTTGAGTTGCTGGATGGCTGC